TTTTTTGGCAGGCCGTTTTCCCTTCAGAGGGGCTCCGGTCACTGCGACGTGTTTTTAATAAGTTTCCACTGTTTCTGTGGAACGTGTTCAGACAACTTTCTGAAAGCAATGGCCCCACCGACAGATTCATTTTACAACAGTTTTGAACAGGTTATTATGTTTCATGTCGTTCTCCAGGACAATACACAGAACAGCGGGGACCATGTGAGCCCTCACAGAGACACCTACGCTCCCCTGCTGTGTTAAGGCGAGGACACAGTCAATTATTGTTGCCTGCTCTCTTTGCACACAGCTGAGGTCCTGCCTGCATTTTATAAACTAATCTTTTTCAACTCAACTCAACTATTTTCCGCTGAGCACCGCTCTTTAAAGGGCAGCTCTCTTGTCTCATGTAAAAACAGAGGACGAAACAAGGCTAGGAGTCCCACCCAGACTGTTTGTAATGTAAAAAGTGCCCAATAAAGCTTCTCAGCTGCTGCCCTCTTAGTCATCGCTGTTAAACCAACCCTGCTAATCCCACAAGTGTGACATTTATTACATCATGTGGCATTTACAGCATGCAGTCTATATGTCGTCTAATGTACTATAAACTGGAAGATCCTGTTTATTTCCTGCGTCTTTGCATTGATGGAGAGATGTTTGTTTGGTGGGTTATCGCTGCTCCAAACTACCTGGCTCATCTTCTGCACACCAGGGTTTGTTTTTTTTGGATATGTACAACATCTAGTCACAGATAATTATTACCCAGGACAGTGATGACGTATACACGCTGAATCACTGCCGTGTTACATAACTCACAGAAAGAAACAAACATCTCAATCAGGTCAGGATCATGGTGACACGGAGCAAGCAGGGAGATCATGGAAGATAATTCAAGGTCTTAATAAATGGTGCTAGGACTAGGACAAAGAAAACATTTAAAAAGGAATGGTCATAAATTAAGTTGCAAACGAGAGACACAGTTGACCTTTCGCTAAGCCCCACCCCTTTGAGATGGTCTGACAAGTTATAGGAGTAAGCACTGAGCCCACACTGTAACTAACTGCACTCCCTGAAGAAATATTACCATATTTTTGGAAAATTACTGATATGCATACTCATGCAGAAACATACAATGCCAAGGTTTTCTTCTGGAGATTTGGTTGGACGGGGACACCCTGACTTTTAGTCCCTTGTATGGGTTGATTTCCAAAAACCTTTGATCACCCCCTTCCCTTCACCATCGAACAATTCCCAGTTGGCACTACAGGATTTCTGTTATATAGAGTGTGCCAGTAAACCCGGAACTCCGTTAGCGCTTTTAGCACTTCCGGTTCTCTCGTCTAAAAGTCAATACATTTTTTGAATGGGATTTTGGTAAAATGCTTCAAATAAGGTCTGTGGTTAACAAAATCTTAAGCGAGTTTCAGGTTTTGTTCTACGACATAAAACACGTCAGTAAATACCCTACTTGTGAATTTTGAAGCTTTTACGTGTCGTAAAAAAGGCGGTTGCTAATAAGTTGCTCAATACGACTACAAACCCTGTCGGGGACATTAAACGTCATCACGCCCGAACAGGCGAGAGTGCTGGCAGTCTGCCATTACAGCTTCTTATTTAGCTCAAACAGTCCGATTTCCCCATTATACAATGTTTTTAAAATAAAGCGGCCGAAATCAGTTGAAAGCTTAGTGGCGGTGACATTAAGAGTCACGCAACCGTGGAGTAGTCATGTAGTCCGTTAAAGCCTAACGTTAGCTTTTTACTTCTGGCGATCGCATTTAAGCTTCAAATGCGGTATGAAAGGTGTTCATATGTGAAGATTATCTCGCTGAACAAAACCTGTAAGTATCATAAACTTGTGTTAGCCACAGAGCTTATTTTCTGACATAATCCAAAACGCGATGCAAAAATCACATTCACTTTCTCTTCTGGGAACCAGCACTATGCTAAACTTCCGGGTTTTTACATCAGCCATGGCACACTCTATTATGTCACCTTCGAGCCCAAGCCAAGATAACCCTGATGACATCACTGTAACATCATCAAGGTTATTTTCCCAGACTTGCCAAAGCTCCTGAGCTCCAGAAAACAGAGAACACTTCATACAAGTCTTTATAGAAGCTGAGTAGTACGCTCCTTGACAAGCTAAGTGAAGTTCATATATAAAATTGGTGGAGTGCCCCTTTAAGTTGTTATTTTGGGGGGAAAAGTGGATGATGATGATAGAGAAAAAACATATGTAACAATTTTTGAATCGAGCTTGCAGGCATTTCACAGTAAAATTACAGAATTTATGACACTATTCTACTTGTTAATCATGTTTTAAACAAAGTTTTGATACAGGTAACACAACATGTTAAAGTTATGACATCTCATGCATACACAAAAGCAGTCATTACTGACCAGTGAAATAACACCACTGCAGCCACAGAGTAAGAGTGCAAGAGCCAAGCCAAAGCTGCAGTGGAATCTGGGTCAGAGCTAGTTAACAGATTTGTCTTTCATCCATGCTCCTGCGTTTACAAAGGGAAAAACTACAGCGTGGCAGTCTGGAACAAGGTCGCTGCAGTGTTGGAAAAGTGTTTGGTCCTCTTAGAGGGGGAACATAAGCAGGCCCGGCCAACTTCACAGCGACATCCAATTACTGTCGCGGCTGAACAGAGGGCCATTATTATGAAAGGTTACACTAATGTAACCTCAAACAGGACCCTTGAATCGTCATTTGTTCACCCCAATCGCCAAAATAAATGTGGGCATTTCTGCAAACCACAAATATGTTACATTTGTACGTCACTATGAAGCTGATGCTTTGAACTTGGTCACTTGGTGATGGTTCAGAAAGGATCATGTTTTGGTTTAAATTACCCATTTTTGGTGGCACAATCCTGACTAGAAACACAGCAATGTCTGTGTAAAAAACATCCGCTTTTCATGGCAGTATTTCAGCAGCAAACAGTCATGGGCTGCTAAAAATCAACCACTTTTGGTAAATATCCCCGCAGGGAATGCAGCAATGTCTCAGTTAAAAAAAAAAAAATAAAAAATCACATTCTGCGGTAGCCTGGAAATCCAGACCCAAATCTAGAAAGATTTAGGGTCTGGCCATGTGTAATGAAAATGGCCCAACTCGAGGGGCAGCACTAAGCATGCATTTGTAAATATCACTGCACGCAATTGGATAACACTACGACCAATCAGAACAATACACAGGGTGACGTATACGCTTAGCTACCAGCGGAGCTAACTGGTAGATTAGACTCTTGCCGTATCCGGTCGGCAAAATGGCAAAAATGTCCTTCTTGCAAAGAAAAGATTTGAGCGCTGTCTTCTGTTCCTCTTTTAGAGAAAAAGCCAAGTCTAACTCGTTCATTGTAGCGGCCAAAGCCGTTTCAAAGAACTGGTGTTCATCCGTAGCCATCTTGCAATGTTTACTGACTGAATCTGGACTTCGTCGTCACAGCGCTGTCGTCATCTGTTTAGCTCGCCTCTGGCCCGCCTATATCAGATACACCGATGTGATTGGTGCAGCTTGGCTCCAACAGCATGGGTAATGAGCATCATTACTGATTGCTAGAGTGACTCGCTGAGCAAATTCAAATTGTGCTCTCGTGAGAACTCTGGATTTCCAGGGTAATTCTGCGGCACAATCTTGGCAAGAAACACAGCGACAGGTGACAAAAAAACAACTGCTTTTTTGCGGCACTATCTTGGCAGGTAACACAGTGACAGCTGGTGAGAAAAAACACTTTTCATGGCACTATCCCAGCAGCGAACACAGTGTCAGGTTGCAAAAAAATCAATTGCTAGTGGCACTATCCCAGCAGGAAATGCAGTGAAGTCTCGGTAGAAAACAACCGCTTTCTGTGGCAAAATCTGGGCAGGAAACACAGTGAGAGGTTGGTAAAAAACAAACCTTTTTGTGGCACTATCCTGGCAGCAAATGCAGCAATGTCTGTAAAGAAAACATCCACTTTTCATGGCACTTTCTCAGCAGAAAACACAGTGTAAGTTTGCTTAAAATCAACCGCTTGTGGCACTATCCCGGGAGGAAATGCAGCTATATCTTAATAAATAAACAACTGCTTTTTGTGGCACTGTCTCGACAGGAAACACAGTGACAGGTTTATGAAAAAACAAACCATTTTGTGGCACTAATGCAGTGACAAGTTGGTAAAACACAAACCCTTTTTGAGTCACTGTCCCGGCAGCAAACACATTAATGTCTCTCTAAAAAAAACAACTGCTTTTCATGGCACTATCTCAGCAGTCACCACAGTGACAGGTTGCTAAAAATTAACCTCCTGTGGCACTATCCCGGCAGGAAATGCAGCGACGTCTGAGTAAAAAACAAACCCTTTTTGTGGCACTATATCAGCAGCAAACAAGCGATGTCTCTGTAAAAAACAGTGGCTTTTGTGGCATTATCTTCGGTGGAGGCACAGCGACAGGTCACTAAAAAACAGCCACATTTGGTGGCTAAAAATTGCTGGAAACACAACAATGACTCAATAAAATACAACCAGTTTTGTCATGTGTCTCGTGTCACGCCATCCACCACGCCCTCCTCCTCCTGTCAGCTCATATACTACATCACTTCAGAAAAACTGATGATACATATACACATAAAAAAATAAGATGTTCATGGTTTCCAGACAACACTGTGCAGTGCCAACATTCTCATCTGGCAGCTGAGCTGATTTGTGTTGATATCCTGTGGAGCCAGGATCATGTGATCACATAAAGTTAACATCTACCCTTCACACAGAATAAACACTGATGCCCGTGTTCTACATCGGGCCAATATTTCCATTCCAACATCCATAAACTCAGCATTGCAGTTTAATCATAAAAGTCAATAAGACTTCATGTTTAAAATAAGGGCCAGCGTGTTGTTAAGTTTTATGTGCCATTTTACAAATAAACTGCTCTGGCTTTTTTTGTTTACGTCTTAAAAGATTATTAGAAACATAAAGTCAGCGCTGTGTGCTAGAAACAATCACTGCTGAAGAAACACAGACTCAACTTGGGAGCACCCAGTGGATGCTGCAGCAAAATTTATTCAGTAGAAATCTTTAGGGATTCATACAATGATAGTTCAGCAGAAAATTACAACCCCCCCCTTCTCCCTCTGTTAAAACGTTAGGCGGCCACAGTGAAAAACATCTCTATGCTGCTGGCTAAGAACCTTAGAGCAAACTGTCTGAGACGAGGAGGCACTTAGACTGTCGTGTCCATGATTGTGGAAAATGACATCAATCTAAACTACTCAAAAGATTTTCAGACACAATACGCTCAAAGAAAGATTTCTTTAGCAACAGACATTGGGAAATTATTGAAAATTGGACATTATTCATATATAGTAGTATGGTATATAAGTAGGGAGCACCTGCCTCCACTCTAGTGTACTGACAGTATCATCATGAGGAACCTTATTAGAGAATTAATTATCTGTCCATCTATCTTATTCTCAAGTTAGATTGGCGAGGCTGCTGACTAATCCCCTGCCCCGTCAGTGAGGTCACTAGTAGAAGTGGTTCAGTCCTGTGATGAGAACCTTTAACATTTATCTGACACCAGACCTGCTTTTAAATTCTTCATGGGTAACTCTATTCAGTGTTCAGAGGTGTAGTAACAGCGAGCTCCGACGTCTCATCTACAGCTTGGCTTTGCCCGGCTGCAGCTGCAGGCTCTGAAGCTTCATGGCCAGTCCCATGTTCCCTGTGATCTTCAGCTTGCCCTGGAAAAACGCCTGTGAAGCAGAGAGGGTGAAAAAATGTTACGCATGCAGACAGATCTGAATCTGAAGTATGCTGCAGTCTGAATTGGAGAGAACTACATGCTGCTAGTTTTAAGAGTTACCGTGAGAGATTAACTCAACCCAGAGAAAGTGGGGCAACGGCAACAACAGCTTATGAAATGTCAGGAAACTGCATGGCACACAGGCACAGAGCGGGTCGAGTCAGAGAGATGGATGTTTGTCGACAGGAGTGCAGGAGGCAATACATTCTTAGAATATTAACAAAGTTCTCAGAAGGAAAACGAAAACTTTTTCATGTGGCAGAAATGGAAGGACTGAAATGATAAATTTTGCTTCTGAATTAAAAACATCATGCAAAAAGTCAACCTGTCCAAATTTCTGAGTGATGTACGATAAAGCAGTGGAAAAACCGTGGAGCGTGCCCTGCTGTCCTTCAATGACACAAACACAGTGCACTGATGGCTTTTCCAGGGACTCCTGATACATGTAATTACTGTACATGGCCTTGGAATGATTGCACAGAGGTGTGTCATCGCATCACTCTCGCAGCACAAATGAACTTGGTGGGCCTCATGATTCACTGCTTTCGCACATAATAATTCAGAGCTGGGAAATATGGCATGAAAATCAAGACAGGGCTGATTCATCACGCACTGAAAAATAATGTGCGTGCAAAAAAGAGAGAGAGAAAAGCAGACTGTTCTGCATCACCAATGTCAAAACTAAATACGTTAATTTGTCCAACTGAAATTATTACATGGTGCCATGCTGTTACTTCAACAGCTCATAATTCTGAAGCCTCAATAGTCCGAAAAACCCATTTGTACAACAATCCGTTATCCTGGAAACAAACTACCACTGCTTCCAAAGGCCACTTCTCTGAAAACAGCTACACACTACACATGGCTAATTATTATATAGAATGAAGCCCGTCTTAACCTCTGACTGGCTTACCCTGACATTCTTACCGAACCCTAACTGACCTTAGGGCGCATTCACACCAGGATAGTCCGGGGGACTCGGTTCGATTGGGCAGGGAATGCAGGAAATATTTCACACCTTCATTTGGTTCGGTTCACTTTCACACTGCACTTTTTAAAGCGGACCAAACCGCCTGGACAACATCACGCAGTTACAACAGCTGTTCGTTTGGGGGCGGTATTGCCCGAAACAACCACTGACCAGGAGGAAAAAAAGCATGAGGAAGAAGAAAACCCGGCTCATCGATTGGCCAGGACCAAAAACGTAAATCCATCCCCTTTAGCCGGCTTGGTCACCACAAAAACAATGGAACAACACCAAACTGCACCTTCTCACTACTCCACGTCTGCCCACAGGACATTTTCCAACTTTTTCTTTTTTTACCTCTGCTTTTCCCGGTTCACGCTGTTGGCCTTGTTTTTTTTCCACCCAAAATGCAGTGTGCTCTACGTCACTTCCTCTCTTTGGTTCACTTCAGTCCGTTTGCATTTCCCACTATAAGCAAACCGCACCAGGGTTCACTTGAAAGTGAACCGAGACCCCCAGTTTTCAAGCTAACCAGGGTTCGCTCCTTTGGTGCGTACCAGAGTTCGAATGAGCGTTCACACCACTCCAAAAGAAACTCAACTATCCCTGGAAGCAGACCAGGGTTCATTTAAAGTGGACCAAATAGCACCAGTGTGAATGTGTCCTTACTCCTCATGCCTAAACCTAACTGACCCAACCAATGAAGGTAATGAGTAGTAGCCTATCAAACGCAAAGTAGGACAGGTCATGTCTTTGCCATAGTTGGAACCAATTCTTTGAAAAATTATGCAATTATTTCCCCTGAATCCTCGGACTGAATATTATTTTTTTTCTGTGTGCTTGTATCCCTACTTTTGAAATGTTATCCCCAAAAGATTACTGTAACAATTAATTTCATTACACACAACAAAATACCATGACTCTTCCAGAACTTTCAAGGATTTTACCAATCCCATGACTTTTCCAGGCCTAGAAAAGGAGATTGTGAAATTCCATGACTTTTCCAGATTTTCCATGACTGTGGGAACCCTGCATGTGCCTCTGTTTGGGAGAGCGCACTCAGAGAAACAGTCCTTGAGAGCAATTGGTGTTTGGGATAATGGGCTGTTGTACAAATCGGCTTTCAAGCATATAATTTTCAGACTTCTGGGGCTCCAGAATTATGGGCTGCCAGAACAACTGTTAGTCACCTTATTTTATTAACCCACATCGTGTATATCTTAGGAATGGGTCATGATTTCTGAATGCTCAATAAATTAAAACATCAAACCATTTACATGGCTGTTAATAATAATGTATTTTCCCTTGTTTTCATTGTGTGAAAATGGTTAAACGAGTGTGACACAAAAAATACATGGAAATGAGGTGCAGTGTTGGTGGGAATGAGAAACCAGAACTGGCAGATGATGTGGTTCATGTGATGGAGTTAGAATTCATTGAATGTGCAACACAAGGCTGAGAGTCCCGTTCCATGCGTTCAGTGTTGGGTAGCATCATGTTTCTGGTGTTGCACGCATGCTGTTACTTTTCCATTTAGTCCCCAGTGTTCAGGAGCAGGAAAACATCACATTCACACACACATTCACACACTGGCGGCCAAGGCTTCCCTACATGGTGCCACCTGCTACTCAACAACCATTCGCACCCACTCACACACCGATGGAACAGCAATCGGGAGTAATTTGGGGTCCAGTATCTTGCTCAAAGGTACTGCTGATCTTCTGATGCGTGGACGACGCGCTTTACCTCCTGAGCCACAGCCGCCTTGGTCGAATAGTTCCCAGTAGAGGTGTAACAATACACCTCTACTACACAAATTGTACCTTTCAGGATGAGGTGACGGTTCGGTACACATTACGAACTGAACGATTTCTTGAACTAATCCTACAATATCGCCACACAAAAATATCACGATACTATGCCGTATCAATTTTTTCACCCACCCCTCATCGAAAACCAAACTGTGACATTACTGTGTTGTAGAGAACTGAGTCATGAATTTCATGAACCATTACACCCCTCGTTCCCAGTGACTAGCGACTAGTATTTTTGCTCTAAATGCCCATATTGAGACTCATCTTGAAGGAAATGGCTTGCATTATTTGTAATTTTTCTTACCGTCAACAAATCCCATGAAAAGACAAAAACAACAATCTATCAGCCCGTCTCTCCTCTCCAACTTCCCCAGCCTGTCTGTGGCTCGCAGGCTCAAGCCCATTTGTTCCTGCTCCGGACAAATATTTTTAAAAATAAATATATAGTTTACGTTTTTAAAACAAAAAAAGGCTCAGTAATTTCCCATAAAAGCTGAGCTCTATATTTTTTATCAAGCAAACAGGAGCAAACAGTGCATCTGCTTCTGACTTATTAACATTTAATGCTTTTATGAGTATTTCCAGCAGCGTGATGGTGTGCGTGTGTGGGATTGAGTCAAAATAAACTACAGTGTGTTTTTAAGGCAGATGTGTTTTTAATCGTTGCTGAAACAATGGCGCTCTTGTTGCTTGTTAGTCAGATCAATTCATTGTTGTCTCTGGTCGTATCATGGGATTTGCTGAAAGCACACTATCATGTTAAAGAATATCTGCTTCTGACGGAGGCTGAAACATCTGCCTTCTGCTCTTTTTCTGCTCACGGATCAGGTTTTATTTTAAAGTCAGGCATGAAATATACGTCATTTTATTGTCAGCTCTCTCCTGTTCAGGCTACAAGCAGGAAATCTGTATTATGTTCTTTCACCACACAGCAGCAGCTCTTTGACTTCTCGTCTGAGGGCGGTAAATTGGCACAATCAGCCAATAACGCAGCACAGTGTTCCCTCTTAATTTCACCCAGGCGCTAACATCACATCCCGTCAGTACTACATCCAACTGGCAAACAAATCTGTTCCACTTTTTCTGAGAATCATTGGACAGGACACATCAAATGAACTGCAGGAAAAAAACCAGGACATTGTGCAGGACACCAGGGATAAGACAGGTACAGTCCTAACACTCGCACACACTTTTGACCTGAGAAGACAAACACTACACGCAAAGAAGTTCACTCAAACCACACTGAGCTTGAATACTCACAGTCTGTGGGTTCATCTTCCCCGTCATCAAGGCCAACAAGTCTGTATCTGACATGGAAATGGTGCAATCTGCTTTCTTAGCTGCAGGGCAGAGACACAGGAGGTACACTGAGTACAAAAATAGGAGCTTGCATCTCAGAGATATTTACTCAGTGACTTACAGGTATTTCAAGTTTGAAGGTAGAAGTCTAATAAAGCACACATAGAGCAGAAAAACACTGACTTTGAAACTTCTTTCTCACTCACAGTTGAATATGATTACATGTCACTATAACCTCCCCTGAGTTTTCTCACCTGTGTCATTGTGAACACAGCCTTTACCGTTCTTCACGTCCACATACCAAGTCGCCTCCTGTCCATTTGGGCCATCCTTTACTTTGAAGGCGAACACTCCCCCGATCTTTTTCACAAACTGCTCCCCTTCCTGTTCAATGGACACAGGGGATTTAGTGATAGGTAGGTGTTGGGGGAACTGTACTATCTACATTTACAAGCTTGTAGAACAGTCATTTAGCTAGGCAGGGCACGTATGACTCCTTTCAGGATAGGTTATGCTACTCGGAAAGACCATACTTTCATATATGACACTATACTGTACATATTTAAGGACACTTTTATGAAAAACATTTTGCAAAATTTGAATTGGATCAGTTTTCGTCTGTATAACCACACGTTTTAAACACACACACAGTAAAAATCTGTATATGAAAATAAGAGTGTCAGTAGTTCATGGAGTTAAAAGCCACGTTCATGGGTTATTCTGAGGCCGAAAATGTACTGGAAGTTTTAAAAAACATCTTCATGGATATTTTGTTTCACTTATACCCCCAACTGTGATTCATTGTTTTCATTTTCCGTAACCGCTGATCCTGCTGGAGCCTATCCCAGCAGTCACCCTGGACAAGTCGCCAGACTCTCACAGGGCCGACACATTCATACCTACGGCCAACCTAACGTGTGTGTCTTTGGATTGCGGGAGGAAGCCAGAGCACTTGCAGAAAACCCATGCTTACACAATGAGAACAGGCGAGCTCTGCACAGAGGTGCTACCGCACCCCTGGGGTTCAAACTACAGATGTACTGATACCACTTTTTCCTTCCCGATACTGATTACGATCCCTGAACCTTAGGTATTTGCCGATACCGAGAAATGATCCGATACCAGCGCGTAAAATAAAAATGGATGGGATATGAATTGTTGTATGTCTCAACTCCTAAAACTCTATGTAAAATATTTAGAAATAAATACATAATAGTAGAATGAATGTCATAAAACTTTTTTTTTATTATTATTATCCAGTGTTGACACAGATCAAGACACAGGTTAAAGTGCAGCCATACAATTTGGTGAAAAAGACATTTTAAAGGCTACAGTAGAATGGTTTATAAACTCCGCTCCGGTTCCGCTTCGTTTGCCTGTAGCGTGCATGTGTGTAATGACGTGAGGCATTACATGGTATCGGATTGGTCATAGGCTGTACTTGCCGATACCCGATACCGCATTTTAGGCAGTATCGGAGGCATTTCTTATACTGGTATCGGTACAACTCTAGTTCAAACCCCCCAACTGTGATGAATTTGTTATATGTTAACCCTACTATTTCCATGCTGACTTGTTATGAGTGATGCATTTATATCAATCAATCAATCAATCAGCAGGAGGTAAAGGGGGCAAAGAGATGTAGAGTATCATATGAAATCAGAAACCCTAAGGAATCCATTGGTATCACGTACCACATCATGCTAGCTGAATGAAACTGGGTTCTACGTGTACACACAAGTCTCCTCTTTACAGACACGCCCACTTAATGCTAGTCCCTTGTAGTTTTGGGGCAAAAACCATGCAGTTTTCTGTATTTTATTTGGAAATTTCTGCACACTGGGGTCCTTAAATAGTCCTGGAATTGCATGAATTGGGTAAAACTGAAGAACTGAGACTCTTGTGGATTCAATAAGCCTCATTTTATTAATGTGTGATGATGTTAGTCCCTATAGCAGCAATTTTATTGTGATATGTTCGGTCCTAAATATAGCACAAAGTAATAATGGCTCATGTGAATGCAAAGCTAAATGTCTTAACTTCTCATAGGTACATGAAAAGTTGCACGTAAAAGTGCTCCACAAGCATAGACCACAAAGATATTGAATGCACTCTTTGGAGATTTTCACCTCTGGCAGTGCTGGTAAAAAGAGAACTGTTAGGAGGAAAACATGGGTATAAACTATGCTGGCTTGAAATTGTAAAATAACAAACAAAATGACTTTGCAAATGTTTTATGGGCAGGAAAATGCATTCAACACATTTGTTAGACCTCAAGGATACACACAATTTGGTGACAAACACTAAGTGTAAACAGAAACTTTGTTTACGAGAAAACTTGCCAGGGAAATTTGCAGTCTACACAGGCAACATATTTCAAGCTGACGCTCTTCCTCAGGCTATATTATCTTACTCTCTCATTTCTCTGACAATGTTTAACTAATATGGAAATCGAAAAAGGACAACAAGTTCTCTCACTGAAAAACAAGCTGTGCAGCTAAAATGTTGAATCTGTTTGTCTCATCAGTTGCCTGAGATATTACACTAAACCATGTCACTAAGTATCCAGGGTGCTACACTGTTGCCATTTTCTCATTGATGACAAATCCCATTCATTACATAGACAGCACTGCCGGCGGGCTCAAGATGAATCTGGTATGATTGAGGTCACATAAAGGTAACTGCTTAAAAACACTGACTTTTGGAGGAAGCCATTTGTCTGATTGAATCAACATAAGCTTGATATTAGTTTTATACCATGAAACAACAGTTTGGGAAGTGATCCAAATGTGCCACCATGAGGCTAAAGGCCCATTTTGCCATATGACACAGAGTGCATGTTTGTCCGTCCTTGGAAAGGGATGTGACCTCTGCTCTTCCCGAGGTTTCTTCCATTTTTATCTTTATTTTCAGAATCAAGGGTCAAAGGACAGAGGGTGTCTTATGTTGTACAGATTGTTAAGTCACTTGAAAATTTACTTGATTTATAAGCACTGTATATGATTAGACGGATTGATAAATGCTTACAAAAACCTATATGTGTGCTACAAATGAATTAAAACAAGACTACCTCTGCCTTTGTAAAAAAAAAATACTGACATAAAAGTCCTTGAAAAAGTGATAATAATATAGTCAGAGATCTGGGATTAACAATATTGTCTCCTACTGTAAGTAGGGGTGGAGGATATATCAATTATACTCGATGTATTGTGGCTTCTTCCATTTGAGATGTATAAAATTACAATATCGTGAACATTGAGTATAAATTGTTACGGCATTTTTTTAACCCACTAGTAGACTCGCTTTGGCATTTCTGTCCTCTCACTCTCTGCTTTGACGCTCTTCCTCTCACGGACAACAAAAGAGGTTAAAAAGAAAAGACTTGCAAACATGATGCGTCATACGTCATTTGTATCTGTAGGGCTCAAGACCGCAACTATTTAGTCGCATTTTGCAACCATGGAGCACCTGCTTGACTTGCAGATGTTCTTAATATATTAACTAGAGAGCTGTTGGTTTGTTTCCAGCTCACAGTGAATAAATCCTCACGTTTAACGCTGCCGCTGTAACAGTTCAACTTTTAACAAGTTATAGGATACTGTCCGCAGACAAGGAGTGTGTCGTGTTTGCAGGGCGCCAGACCACAACTATTTAGTCACATTTTGTGACAATGGAGCACCAGTGCAACTTGCAGATGTTCTTAATATATGAACTGGAGAGCTGTTAGTTTGTTTCCAGCTCACAGTGAATAGATCCTAATGTTTCTCGGTGTCGCTTTAACAGTTAAACTTTTAACAAGGTTAACAATACTGTGAGCAGGTAAGGCATGTGGTCTTATATTTGCAGAGCTCCAGACCGCATCTATTAGTCATATTTTGTGGCAATGGAGCACCAGTGTGCCTTGTAAATGTTTTTAACATATTAACTGGAGAGCTCTTAGTTTGTTTCCAGCTCACGGTGAAAAAAATCCTCACGTTTTAACAGTTTAACCTTTAACGAATTTAACAACACTGTGAGCAGGCAAAGCGTGTCTTTTTGTACCTGCAGTGCACCAGACCGCAACTTTTAAGCCACATTTTGCGACCATGAAGCACCAGTGCAACATTTAAATACTATTAATACATAAACTGGAGAGCTGTTAGTTTGTTTCCAGCTCACGGGGAATAAATCCTCACATTTACACAGCTCTGGGGTATAAGTTTAACTTTCTGCTAACTGCTTACAAGTTAATGTTTACCAGAAGCTTCAAGTTCAAAGCAAAAATTATCAACACTTTTGGCCAAAGACGAGCTGGATGCATCAGAATAAAAGCACAAGTAATCCCGCTTTGATTTCATTATAAAACTTTCTTATTTAGCTTTGTTATAACTGTATTTTATTTAATTTTACAATAAGAGTATGTTATTGAATTTGATTATAACAGTATGCTACTTTCTTCTAACTGTAGTTTATTTAGAGTTTAGTATTTTAGTAGTCCGCAGTAGTTTAGAGAGAAGATTTCATGTATTGCGACAAAGTCTAAAAATACGGCAATATTACTAACAGACCATATCACCCAGCCAAATGTAAGTCATGTAATCACCTCCTGGAGCTTCTTGTCGATTTCCTGGAACACAGCATGTGCTTTGAACCCCTCCAGTCCGTCACTAGCACTGGTGTAAATGGCTTGAATCCTTGACATGGTGAAAGCAAAGGCATGAGAATGAGAAGATACGGTTAGTAACAGAAGTGATAAAAACATGGTACAGAAAAGTACATGGTTACCAAAGACAAACCAATCACTGATCAAACATTTACTTTGATATTTCATTCTTTTTCATATATTGTAGGAGTACATATTTTTTCTTATGGATTTCTCCACTGGATCGAAGTGTGTGTTCCCCCTTGTCAATTTCATATTACAATGTGTGAGTACCACCCACCTGTCGCCAGCTCTGAGGTGACACAAAACACAAAGCCCACTCAATTATCACTTTCACAGATGGATTAAGGTGCATCAAGACTGTGGCCTCCACATTTTACACCTCCACTGCCTGGTTCACAGTCTGTGTATTTATCTAAACATCAAAACAGCCACTCTCAGCTAAATCAACTATGTCACCATCTTTATGCACTTGCCAGCCAGCTGAGAAGAAGGTGCTGCTGCACAACAAAGTTCCAGAACACTGACTGCGTTGGTGGTCCATAAACAGCTCTTCAAGAGGATAGCAGTGCATTTTAAATGAAGTTTGAGATAAGATAAAGCAGCCTTCACCTTTTCCCTAGAGGTGAAATTCAGGTGTTTTTCATGACTGAAGCAACATATTTTAGGACTTCTAATAATTAGGCTAGATGGATGAAAATAATACAATTATTTATAAATTGTGGCCAAACTGTTACATGGATAATCAGTTGTGTCTATATTGTCAATTCCTGTATATCAATATTGATCTACAATTTTCTGTGTTCCCAGAAATATTTGCTCCTCAAGATTTCTGAATTAGCAGATGACATGACCTGGATAAGGTATGTTTGGGACTGAGAACATGACCACAGATACTGATCTACTGAATATCTTGTGAAACAATTTTATTCTGCTGGCATAATATTACATACACATATCTCTTGATCTCTTATTATCTTAAAAATAATATTATCAGTAATGATTTTATCAGTATAATGCAGCAGCACAAAGACAGTACATACAACTAGTATAAGAGAAGTGAAAATATAAATTATAAAAGAGTAACTATAGACAAACTCACAAGGTAAAGCAACAAAGTTTGATTAATAGCAGCAAGTCTAGTATAATAGGTAAACAGTGCACACCACAATACCGTGATGAATTAAGGATACTTGGTGCTGTCTGTATTAATATGGCAAAATAGAAATATAATATAGTATACGATGTGGTAAGACAGTGTTATGTAGTAACATAGCATAGTATGATAGAGTACCTTATATTATTAAGTACAAGATATATAGTATATGGTGCAATGTATTACTGTAATAATAATAACACAATAATATCTTAAATACAGCTGTATAACATAATATGAAATGTAATATGGTATCATATGGTACAGTATATTAAAGTATGGTAGAGGTATGGACTTTAGTCACATGACTTGGGCTCAAGCAGACTCGACTTTAATTGAGCGCCAGTTGGAAAAATGATACTAAAGATAAGTTCCTTCGTGTGCAAAAACTGTGTACCCATGCAAAATGTGCAGGCAGAAAATTATAGACTGAGATGCAACAACAAAAAGCATTCATCGTTTTTGAAAATGGCAATATAATTTTTTGCAAAGGGTGCATTTTGACTTGTTTGGGACTCTAAACTCAAAGTGCAGGGCTTGGTACTTGTAAGTCTTGACCTGTGACTTGAGTGCAAAAGTCTTGAGAATTACGTGTGTCTTGCAAAACAATGATTTTATCCCAGTTCTGCTATAATGTAGTATATAATATTAGCAATAATGTAGCATGAAATAAATATTAGGTATAGCAGGGGTGTCGAACGTACGACCTACAGGTCAGGACCGGGCACCAAAGGGTCCAATCCGGCCTGATGGAAGACTTTGCACACCTAATATTGATGCACTTGTGAAGACTAAGAGGTGTCAGGTTTTAGAAGCAAGTTATACAGTGAGTAGCCTGCTTTAAGTAAAATGCTGCTTTAGAGGCTTTTCCAGTCTGACCAGAATACAGTTCTCTGACAAACGATGAACAATCACCATGGTCATATTTAACATTGTGCAAAATACTGTCAATCAGTAGCTTCAGTACAAAAGAAAAACAGTAATGTGTGGGACACTATTGCTAAGGCACTGCCAAAACTTTAGATTTCTAACTGGGTTGTATGACAGGATATAACTTAACCTGCATCCTTAATAGCTTCCACTTTGTTTTGTTGAGGTGACACCAGCATTAATGCACAGGAGAATAAATGTATGGAAAAATGCACATGTAATGACAGTGAGTAGTTGACTGAATGTGGAAAAACTGAGACATTTGGTTGAAACGGCACTTATTTTTCTTAAGACACCTCAGGCTGTTCATTGTCTGTTATGTAAATGGATGAATGTTTTAAGAGTGCACTTCTTTAAGCTAAAGCAGATGGGAAATGTTAAGGTGTTATTATTTATACACTGATCGGCCAAAACATTCAAACCACTGACAGGTGAAGTGAGTAACATTGATCATTTTGTTACAGTGCAATGTTCTGCTGGGAAACAGTTGGTCATGGCATTCGTGTGGATACCACTTGACGATCTCCACCCACCCAAACACCACGTTACTCCCTGATGGCAGTGGCCCCCCAGCAGAAAAATGCACCATGCCACACCACAAAAACTGTTTAGGAACGTGACAAAAAGCTCAAGGTGTCGACCTGGCCTACAAATCTCCCACAATCTGATGAAGCATCTAGGGACGTGCTGGTACCCCACCTCACAACTGACAGGTCTCAAATGATCTGAAGCCAGCACCCCGGTGCCAGACACCACAGGACACCTTCCAGAGGTCATGTGTCCATGCCTTGACATGTCAGAGACAAGGGAGGCCTCACGGTGGATTAGGGGTACCTCTGAGGTAACAGCACATCCCATGGATGCTCGATCAGATTTGGATCTGGGGAATTTGGAGGCCAGGTCGACACATTGAGCTTTTTGTCACGCTCCTCAGGCCATTCCTAAGCAGTTTTTGTGGTATGGCGTGGCTCATTTTCCTGCTGGGGGGCCGCTGACATCGGGGAGTTCTGCAGCCATGAGCAGGGGTACTTGATTTGTAGAGGTGTTCAGGTGGGGCGAGCGCATCAAGTGGCACCCTCATGAATGTCTGAACCAAAAGATCCCCAGGAGAACATTGCATTTTTGGCTGATTGGTGTATGTTATTACGTAATTATATATATTTTTTATTATATATAACATATTGTTATATTATACATATCATATATAACTGGTCCGGCATACTTGAGATCAAATTAGATGTTTGACACCATTTAAGTATTGTATAACATATAGAATATGACATATATTGCAAGGTATATAAATAAATCAGACCAACAGCAAGTCAATGGAGAGGGGCAGTGTGCCAAACACTGTGGGAACTGTGTGTGTAACGTTGCTATCACAGTTTTACCCCAGCATAATTAGCTTCTTTGCTAATTATGTTGTAATAAACGGAGGGTTACAGTGCCACTTCAGCCTTGTAGTCACGTAACAAAGAGCTGGAGTTAATGAGTGACTTCGACAAACACGTTAACGTGTACCTAGCTGTGTGTTTGACATGTCCTAGCTAACTGTGAACTCGGTGTAACGTTAACCGGGAACACCGGGTGACCTCACTGAATTATACACAAACATGTAACGTGACGTGTCACAGTGATACGGTACAGTGTTCAGTGCTCTTACCTTGGTGTCTGTATTTCAGGCATCTTGCTGTAACGTCAGGTGAACAGGCTGTAGTATCGCAGGATGGTGGGGTTAAAGCTAGCCTGCTGTGCTGTGTGCTAACTGCACTTCCGTGTTTCCTCCTTCTGTCACTGATCTTCAGACTCGATGTGTCGATGTCAGATAGAACAGAGTAATCGAGTGCAGGGAACAGCCCCACATTTCTGTGAACTGGTGATGGGCAAAGCAGTTCTTTAGATGTTACTGAATCACTAGAATCAGTTCATTAAAAAGATTCCTTCAAAAGATTTGTTCACCGAATCGTTCAGTGCTTGGAGGGAGGAGCACTGAGTAGTCTGACTCACTGAACTGATACACGGCTGAGCTGCTGCGCCGTCTGCCCTGCACCGGCGAGTCTCATTACTGGCCAGCCTAATGTTTTAAGTTTGTTTATCTGGAAACTAAGTCTGTTAAAACAATGGGGAGGTGTGTGATTGTGTTCATGTGGCTTGACTCCTGGCTACATTAGCCGTTAGCTTGGAGAAAACGGTCCCTATGAAAGTGTATCGCTGAGAAGAAATTATTTGAATCACTCAGGGATCGGGGTTATGTCGTTCATCGAGTGATTCATTCACTGAGTGATTCGTTCACCGAGTGATTCGTCACGTGGTAGGCAGTCCCTCCCTGCACCCTGGCTGACTCGAAAGTGATTCATTGTTCGCACGGACCGAAACGGCAGTTCCACTCCCGGCCTGCAGGCTCGCTGCTGAGCTCAACTGAACTGAGAAATTAACGAATCAGTTCCGGAAGTGATTCAGTTCAGTATGTTCACTCAACAGATTTGTTCTTTTGAACGATTCGTACGTGAACGACACAACACTACTGTGAACATAACTTCAGATACAGTCCTACAAACAGTCCACTCTCCAAATTCTTAGTTTAATTAGTTTGTTTAAAGATGTGATTCTCAAAGTGAGGTCCGTGAAAAGATGGCCCGCAAAGATGAGCTGGTAAGTGAATACCTCAGGCAGCAGGAGGAGGATGAACCATCATGGAAGGACGAGACCCTGCATGGCAAGCACCACCGTCAGATTGAAGAAGTAGCTGTCATCAAGAAATCCTACCAGTGGCTGGAAAAGGCTGGACAGAAGCACTTATCATGGCAGCACAAGAACAGGCACTTAGTACAAGATCAATAGAAGCAGGGGTCTACCACACCAGACAGGACCCCAGGTGCAGGCTGTGCAAAGACGCTCCTGAGACAGTTCAGCACAGATGCAGACAGGAAGAGTGTACATGGAACACCATAACCAAGTGGCTGGCATAGTGTACAGGAACATCTGTACTGAGTGTAGGCTGGAAGCTCCAAGTTCACAATGGAAGACACCTCCGCAGGTGGTTGAGAATGACCGAGCCAGTATCCTGTTGGACCTCCAGATCCAGACAGACAAACTGGTGATGGCTAACCAATCAGACATCATGTTGATGGACAAACATCAGAAGAAGGCAGAGGTGATTGTGGTGAATCCCGAGTGACAAGAACATTAGGAAGAAGGAACACGAGAAACTAGAGAAACACCAAGGGCTGAAAGAGGAGCTAGAAAAGATGTAGGGAGTAAAGGCAATAGTGGTGCAAGTGGTGATTGGAGCACTAAGGGTTGTGACCCCCAAACTGCTAGAGTGGCTCCTGCAGATTCCAGGTACAACACCTGAGGTCTCTGTCCAGAAGTGTGCAGTCCTGGGAACAGCTAAGATACTGCACACAACCCTCAAACTCCCAAGCCACTGGTCGGGGACCTGAGCTTGAGGAAGACACACTATCCAAAATAGTTAATGGATCACATTCTATACTAACAATTTCTGTATTATTTACATGGACTGTAGACTACAAAAGTTAAAGATGGACAACATGACAGCTCCCCAAAAGTAAAGCCAAAACATCTAGCCCGCCCTTCATGGCTGGCTGCAGTTTAGGTTGTGAATCTAGCCCCGTCTATGTTAGTAGATGGGACATGAGCCAAACTAAAGTCTCAAAGTACATGTCAAATAAATTTTTCTTGAGTTGGTTTCTGTCATTTTATGTAGTTCTTATCACACTGATGTATATTCAGGCGTGACAAAAAGCTCAAGGTGTCGACCTGGCTTTTAAATTTCCCAGGTCCCAATCTGCTCAAGGACTCTTGTGATGTGCCGGTACCCCAGATGTACCTCTAATCCAAGGTGGGGCCTCCTTGGGTCGGACCTGGCTCTGACCTGTGGAGGCATGGACACAGGATCTCTGGGAGTGTCCTGCGGTGTCTGGCACCAGTGCATTGGCGGCAGATCCATTTAGTCCAGTGGGTTGTGGGGTGGGTTAATGGCATGTCCCACAGATGCTCATTCAGATTGGGATCTGGGGAATTTGGAGGCCAGGTTGACACTTTGAGGTCTTTGTCACATTCCTTGGGCCATTCCTGAGCCATGTTTGCAGTGTGGCATGGTGCATTATCCTGCTGGGGGGCCACTGCCATTGGGGAGTACTGTTGCCATGAGGGGGGGTACTTGGTCTGCAACAGTGTTTGAGTGGGTGGAACATTTCAGGTGGTATCCACATGAATGCCAGAACCAAAGGTTTCCCAGCAGAACAATGCATTGGAACAAAATAATCAAAGTTATTCACTTCACCTGTCAGTGGTTTAATGTTTTGGCTGATTGGTGTATAGACAGTGCAGGCAGTGCCGTTGAACTGGGGCCCATAGAGAGAGTGGGCCCTCCAACAATACGTTGGGTGGAGAACAGGCCCTTATGAGAGACTGCCACCTTGAAAATATGCCTGTGTTCAAAGACAAACTCTCATTAATTTAAGAAATGTGCCGTTTGCTATATGCCCTCGAAAAATGCAAACCCATCTCTGTCATGTTTATTCTTTCTTTATTTGTAAACAGTCAATAGCATCTATAACAAAATTATATTTTTTTATTTTATTTATGTATTTATTTAATCTTTATTTAACCAGGAAGTCCCATTGAGTTTGAAAATCTTTTTTACTAGAGAGACCTGGCCAAGGTAGCAGCCAATTAAAACATATTTAAAATGCAACCAATACAACATATAATACAGAAATCCGCAATAATACAACAACTATTCAAAAATAGTGGCCTCTCATGAAAAACAAGCACCACATTCTTCATGATGCCCTTAAATTCATTCATGGATGTAAGTTCTTATAGTGCTTATGCTTATTCTATAACTTTAAATCAACTATTCTATAAATCAACTATTAAAATTGTTAAATTAATAATTTCTTATTTTCTTTGGTATTTTCTGTTATATATAGACATGCAATCATGATTGCTGGATAATATCTATGTTGATGTTATCCAATGTCAAGTCTATGACTGTGTGACAAGACAATATGTGCACAACAGCGTGCACTGGAGCCCATCATAACTACCTTACGTCTTTGTGTGGCTCCAAATGAAATCCATCCCAAGGTGGCAGCGGCCACATTCAAGACATTTGGCTTCATATTTGCACAGTGGGAGAGAGTGGAGATGAATTGTCCACTCTATGTACATTCCACAGTCTATGATTATTTAGAATCTGCATTTTAATAAGCCTTCGCTGCACTACGAGCAAAACACTTCACCACTTCACACTTCTCCTGATTTGAGTGCGTGTGTGTTTATTCACTGATTTGTGCTGATTTAATTTCTGTGCTCATTTCACAGCCAAAGAAGTGAATCAGAGGAAGCATTTTCGTGAAAATGAAGCATAACATACTTCCTATGCACTCTCATGTTTAAGCTACATTATCCAGGGTCACGGGGAGGGGGTCTGTTGCGTTCATATAGTGCTGTAACACAATGTTTGCATGGCTGTCCTGGTTTCCATGGTTTAAATTTTGCAAAAGCAGTGCTGACCCAAGCATGTCTAATCACACAAACCCTTCATTACAGTCAAATAATTGGTTTAAAAAAAAGACACATAACTGTAAATGTATAACACAGTGTTTCCACTGTGATGGAGATAAGCATACATATCAGCATGTGCATATACATAATTGTCCCTCAACAGCCACCCCATACATTTTCAATTTCAGCTGGATACACAAGTTGAAGATTCTCTGCATTGTTTGAAATTCCTGCTGCAATATAGATGTGCAGAACTGTGTTATCTGTCTGCTGCAGGCTTTGCAGAGTGCATAGGTCGGTAAAGTAATGTACACAGAGTGGAGGCTAACATTAGAAAATCCCATCAGTCTAATGGCAGCTGTGCACCAACTCCATCACTCTCCCACCCAACATGGGAGGCCAGGCGATGCTGTCCTGTTATTATAAGATTCTGTCTGGTCTTCTTTCTACAGTGGTTGTGTGGGGGTTGAGCTCAGACCACACAGCTTAGTGAGTTTAAGGCCAGTGATCAGGAAAACACTGCACTCTGCTGGCCAGGAGACCTCATCATAACATATCAGAAATGGAAACTTTTTCTGCTCAGTGCATCAGAGATGTTGAAGGCTGAGTTTGTGAATGTGCTTTTTAAATGCTATACTGTATGTGTCAGATTTAACATGTGCTATGTTAGCATTTAATGTCCTATTGGATGCTGCCTGAGCTGAAGGAGTTATATAACTTCTACATGAAAAATAAACTCAACTGAGACACTATACCTGTGGAGGAATGACCTACTACTTCAGCTCAGCTCTGTGATACATGTGAGAGGACATTAGCTTTGCCCGTATGGAACGTTTCACTCACTGGAACTGGACAGTCTGGAGTCAGAGGCAGAGAGGAGGATGAAGGACATCCTATATAACCCCTCTCATCCTCTCCATGATGAGCTGTGGCAGAGGGGCAGCTCATTCAGTTGCTGGATCATCCCGCCCAGGTGCAAAACTGAGCGCTCATTTGTGTCCACTGCTGTCAGAAGACAGAGAGGACAGACTGTCACGACACACACACACACACACACACTCCCACAGTGTCTGCCGCATTCAGGACTCTCACATCACTCTCCCTCGTCTTTGACCCTCTGTTGGTCGGATTTATATCCTTTGTTATATATCTGATATATCTTTAAATATAATATATTATCATATTTCATACTTCACCATATAATTATTGTTAATATTACTTTACATTATATTGTACTATACCATATTGTATTGTTTTTAAA